AAATTTCATTTTCTACATGCTATACCAGATATAGCCCTGACCTAACTGTAATGCTATAAATCTATATTCTMTATATATGGACACAAGTCTGCATTCTATACACATACACACACAGAAAGATCAAATAGATATACAAAATAATTAGATACCTCAAAGAACAGAGTACTCTATTAGTAGAATTTACAAACCTGTGCAAAAATCTTTACTAGCCTCACGTTGTGYGTAGGCCTAATCTGCAGGTATTCTCTCCACCACTGTTTAGCATATACAAGAAATAATCGTTCTTTTTCTGCTGTTTTCTGTCGTTCCAAAGAAAACTACAGGTAAGAAAACAGAACAGCCTCACATATATTAACTCCCAGAGAGAGACTGAGTGCAAATTAAGAAATATATTAACATCAAATGCTGGTATGTTTAAAAATAAAGCTTAATATTTAAAACACACTAAAGAAATTTAAAATTTATCTTCAAACTAAAATCCAATGACTGAAAACCTCAAACTGAAGGCTCATGTAGGCTCATCTATGAGCCCAACTGAAATGGTGTTCACACCTTCAGTGATGCAGTTCTATAGAGAAGGACTGCTTGGCTTGTGAAATGTGGAAGAAAATCATCCACACTTTGTGAAGGCACACACTTTCAGGCCAACATCTACTGGCTTTGCAAGCAGGGTAACTGGTGCTTGAAATGATTTTTCAAAATGGACAGAAAACAAGGAAACACATTTGCACGTTTGCAGAAAGTTAACTGTATTGCATCTACATTATTCTGTCCCTAAGCTTTGATACAAGTAACCTGCAAAACTGCTACAGTAATAACAATACATATAAAAGAACAGTTTAAGAAAAGATAATTTTATTTAAATGCAATGAAAAATTCACACTAGACATTCAAAAATCCCACAGTTTACTTACTTGAGTACTAGTGATTTCTGGAGACAGCACCTTGTTTAGTTGTGGATATATCTCGAGTCTGATGTTTAAAACACCGACAGAGACCTTTGATTCTGTACCTTTGAATCAAAATACATATTGATCAATCTTCTCAAGTTCATTTCATTTAGGACATTCCAGTCAGACAAGAACCACAAGTGCAAAAAAATAACAAAGTGTCTTTACACATATGCAAAATAAAAACCTTTATTTAAGTTTCAAACCAGAATGAGCCAAACTAGAATGAGACTGAAAGGGTAATCAGATGAGAAAGGCATTTATCTACTTCTTAGATAATTACTCAACCCTCCCTTTACAGCCAACACTAGAATATATCATAAGTAGTATTCCAGGTGTGCCTAGAGTAGGTATCTAAAATATATTTGAAAAATCACACTGAAATGACTATGTTTACTGACCAGACAAAGCAGTCAAAACTGAATGTTTATCTTCCCTAAAATGTATTTATTATGGAGGACCCACCATGCTATGATAGTATGACACAAACTATGACATAAATACTGCTTTCAGTGCATAAGTAAACCATTTAAAGTGTTTTCATCATATCCTTATTACATATTCTTACCTACACCAAGGAGCTCAACAGCAACGTTTGTTACMCCGTTCTCTGCAGCCAAGACAGATCGCCACTCCAAGAAATAGGACGCTACTAGCGTGGTCTCGCCAAAGGTGTCTGTTTTGATCAGAACCATATGCACTGGATCTGATATCGATAACATCGCTGTTGCATCCACCATTTTACTTCCATCACCTGCCATTAACAAACCAAGATAGCCAAAGCAGTATATACTTCATTAAAATAAGATGAAGATATACTTCATTAAAATAAGAGGATAGTCATTTACATTTATTGCACACATTACTTTTTAAGGAACTATTTTGTCAAAGAGTGTAAGCAACATCAATTCCACCTTAAATCAAAGTAAGATCAGGACAGTTCCAGGAAGACTGGCATCCATTCATTTATAGGGGGAGGAGGGGAAACCTGTATTTGCCTACTCCAGTGTAATTCTTAATTGTACAAAAATCAAAACAGAAATATTACTAAAGAAAATACTGTACTAATAAGTAAAGGAAATTGCAGATACTTGTATATTGCCTTACTCTTTTAATAAGTGGTAATGCTTCAGGTCAGCTCACGATACATCTACATTTAGGAAACAGMTTTCTCTGTAGCTAAACTCTACAATAGATCTGTAGTTAAGACTCTACAATACCACCTATTATACGATTAGCAGAATTATCAAAAGTTGGTTTTCTCTGAATTTGCAGTATATTCACTCTCTCTCATGAGTGCCTGTAATAACTCTAGTTTTGCTTTCTGACWCACCATAACCTATCCTAGATTTCTACAGGATTCAGGTACTGCCAATCTCCTCTTCCTTTATCCCACCACCTTAAGTTTTCCCTATTTACTCCAGAAACCTTTCTGTAACATACCTAACTTCCTACCCTGTGCCCTACCTAATAAGGGAACAAAGATGACAGAGATTGTGGATGATGAACTATTCTGCAGGTATTTGCAAACCAGCAAGCAAACRAAATTCACACTGAAGCTTTTCCCTCCACATGATGAAGAATTTAGGTCTTTCTTCACTTGTCAGCACAAGGTTCAGAAAAATATAAACTTCTTAACTCTGAGACTACAATGGCGTTATTAGATCTGAATGAAGTTGGTCAAATTCAGAAGTTACTTTGGAGTGGAAAGGAGGAAGAAGAATAGGTAAGAACTGACAAAGATCTACGGGGGTCATGAAACCCGATATCACCATTTATTTCCTCGAGAAAAAAAAAAGTTCATTTTAGAATAACTGTGATGTTGGGGAAAAGAACATCAACTTCAAACTCACAATCCTCCTTACCTAGGCTGTCCTTGTGTACTTCAAGTAAAAAACCATCATGAAAATCCGGCTCACAGGCGCACGGGACAGGTTTCGATCTGAAGCGCTGATTCCGAAAATGTAAACACAGAGTGAAGGTAGAACAGACTTGCCCAGGCAATGGCTCTGGCTCCTGAAGATGTTCCAGGAAAGCTTTTCCACCCAAAACCTGAAGGTAAAGATACCTCCGTGTTGGGTCAACATTAGCTGTAAAGCGCAGCAATAAATATGAACAGACTACAAACAGATCTTAAGTATGTCTACATTATCTGTTAGCTAAATAAATAAACAAAAAACTGTTTCAAAACAAGTCCCTAAGAAAAAGTAATTTAAAAATATATAGAAGATAATATACAATACATGACATTTTATGGGGAACTAATTTCTGCTCTTTGCATGAATTTACTTTCRTTGAGATTATCAAGAAAAATATCTATTTATCTACAATATGCAAACCTCAAATGAATTTAATTCACATGGAAATACTAATTCAAGGAGTTTGATAAACATATACTTAAAACTTATCTTAAAACTATGCTCCAAGCATTAAAGTAAACAAGCAACAGACCTTTTTTCAGAACTGGTGGTTCTCTGTCAACAAAACGTGTAGAAGGCTTTGGTGGAACTGAAGTCCTCTCCTTCTCGTTCACATCCTGTAATTATAATTAGACTTCTTAAGGAGTTAAGTGAGGCAACTGTACACTTCCTGCTATCTCCTAAGAATTAAATAATCTTCTGCTATTATATACCAGGAGCAACTKAATGTTGTTTCTCAAACTTCTTACCTTTCAGGATTTAAGATGTAAGGGCACAGAACAATTACTTTCAATGCAACATTATCGCTAAAACAACTCAGTGCGCAGAACTCAGCAAAGCTAACACAAACAAAATTTTCACTTAAATTAATAAAATGCTAAAAGAGCTGGCATAACATCACGCCCATAATAGAAATAACCAAATTATGTTCACACTCCAAAAGCTACTTACAGTTACAAACTTAAKTTCTTTCACGACTTCATCGATGATTCCTCGCTGTCTTAAGGCTTTCATCAGGTCTTCTGTGGATAACTGCTGGTGCTCAGGCGCTAACTCGTCACGAATAGTCTCAGCAAGAACTTCTCTGATCCTGCCATGAACGTCCATCTGAACAGAAAATTCATCATATGCTCTAAACACGTGTTTAAAGTCTCACAAGCTTTAAAATCTATACTTCCTAATATCCTCCCACAATATTTTAATTCACACCGGGGTGTATTAAAACTGAGTATAAGACTGGCCTTCTCCAATACGTTTTCATTTTCTTCCTTCATTGGAGTTTTAGTATGCCAGTGAGAAGAAATTACACTTTTCACATGGTCAGTTATCACTAAAAAGTTATACTGTTAAGTAACTAGTACTCTCCCAGGAAAACAGAGGTAGTGCACCAAAAGAATATCCCTTCCTGTACATGTTGCCCAGACAACTTGTAACATCTTTAATTCTTCCTTTTCCTCCTCTGTTTTTTAAGAAAACCAAAACCAAACACCTTTACATAGTTGCAGGCAAGGCATCCAAGCAAGGAAGCGGCGCCGCCCGTTTCTCCACGATCAGTGCCGGGACAGAGCGCTACTTTCTGCCCTGGGCCGGCTCCGCTGTGAAGCTGCGGGCGTTTTTGAAGCGGCTTCTCGCAGCGCAGCGACCGGCTAAGGCCGTAACCACCGAAACGCCGCGAGGCGCCGGCAACGCGGGAGCGAAAGCGCCAACGCTTCTTTCCCTACTCTTTCCAAGCCCCAGCCGCCGCTTGCGACTGCGAAAGCAGCGCGCAGAGGCGCAGCCCCGCCGCTCCCCTCGGAGGCGGGGAGGGGTGAAATGGCGGCTGCCCCGCCGGCGCCCCCCCCGGGAAGGGGGCGCTACGCGAAGCCGGGACCCCAGCACCGCTCCCACCTTCAGCAGCTGCTGCTGGATGAGCTGCTTCAGCTCCAGCGCCTTCTSCGGCGGCAGCGCCATGGAGCCGGCGGCCTCGGCACGGGACCGGCACGGGACCGGCACGGCACAGCGGCAGCCCGCGCTCCGCCGCCGCCGCCGGGGCCGAGCCCCGCCCACAGCCGCCCTCCCAACCGCCGCGCCGCGCCGGGGCGGGGCCTCCACGAGGGCGGCCGTTACGGCTGTTAGGGCCGTTGCGGCTGCTGCGTCACGGCCGCGCTCGCCTCCTGCGGTGGGAGTGGACGGCGCGCCGTTGTTGGCGCTCGCCTGGCTGCCGGCATGTTCGTTCCGTGCGACGCCGCCGCCGGGCCCGACCTGCGGGGCTTCACGCTGCTCGCGGTGAGTCGCCGCCCGCCCGGGGGCCGCCCCGCGCGCCCGAGGCAGCCCCGGAGCGTCGCGGAGCGGGGCTCGTCCCCCGGCCCGTCCCCCGGCCCGCTCCGGCCTTGGGGCACGTGGGCCGGGGCGCTGTGCTCCCCCGATCGATTGATCTTCGTTTTTAATTTATAATTTTAGCAGTATACTTTAACTTAATTTAGATGCTTTATAGCTCTCGGTGACAGATTCCTTAGCTGTGCTATATTTAAGCTCTGCTTGGAATGGATTTAGAAAAGTTTTCCTGCCTGTAAGTGCCGTTGCTTTGTCATCTGAGGGTAGCCCTGTCTGTTTTCACCAAGGGTTACGCTGCCTCTGGTGACTGTGCACGTTCACGGGAGGCAYGAGGTGCTCCCAGGAAGCTCTTCCTCATCCACAGACTGGCAACAGGAAGCAGTTCCTTGCTCTTGTCTTTGCCCGGGAATGACAAGCCCCTGASTACCAGGCATTTTGTAATGACAGTCACCAAGTGCTGTGCCAATCTCTTTCGCACTGGAGTTGCTGGCAGCGATTTCCCTTCTATTTTCAGCTTCTATGGAAAGATGCAAGCTTGCAAGTTGAATTTTTCTTTGTATGCTCTCAAAATGGGTCAACATTATCCCATTTTGGTGCTAACAAATGTTAATGTCTTGGTAAATGCATCTAAAATAGCCATAGCACTGAAGTCCCTGGACACACTGGACTAATTATTCACATGTTTAGATCAATCTGATATTTACACTTTTAATGTGCAGTATCAGCTTTGTGGTTCAGTGTCACATGGAGGCTGCCACTCTCAGCATTAGTTTTTTGGGTGATTTTTGACAATCTGTAGCCAAAAGACGGGAATTGGGTTGGAGGACCCAAGTCTTAAAGCTCTTTTTTTGTTTTTTAACTTACAATGAGACAGCATTATTCAGCAAAGTAGCCACGGTATATATGTAGGAAAGAGACTTAATTGTGCATTAATAAGACAGTAAGAAGTAGTAATTTTGGTAAGCAGATAGTGCTACTTTAAGAAATTGTATGTTTAGTCAGAGTTCACCTGATTTAAACTTGCAACTTGCAAAAGCCGATCGTGTTGTCTGTAAACACAATGTTGTTCCTTAAGTGAAATCTGTGTTTCCTAATCCTAAAAYACTTATGTTACTTCAGCCCGCAGTATCAGTGGGAAATGTTGGTCAGCTGGCAATAGACCTAGTGATTTCCACACTAGGCATGACTAAAGTTGGCTACTTCTACACTGATTGTCTTGTGCCAATGGTTGGGAATAATCCATATGCAACTGCAGAAGAAAACTCAACGGAGCTGAGCATAAATGCTGAAGGTGTGTATTGAGACAAGCTACATCTTAAACATTTGCTTGTATGAAACAGCTGGAAGAAGGTTGCTTTTTTTTTCCCCCTTGCATTTTTCTATAGAGAACAAACTAAGTTCAGTAATAACTATTATAAATAAATCTGTGACTTACAGATGAAGAACAAAAATCTACACTTTGTAAAAGGAACTTAGGTTTGTTATTTTGCATACCAAGTTGAAACACGTAGAAATGTCCAGAGTGTGTGTGTACTTACAGTGAAGCGTGCAAGTTGAAAGAGAGTGTAAAAAGTTATTGCTCTCATCTTCTTCCTTCCCGTGTATCTTTGCCTTTTTTCAGTGCAGTGGGATGTTTTTCCTTTCATATTCTCTCTGTGCCTCAATTGCAGCATTTCAAATTATATATACATTTTTTCCTCTTAAAACATGGAAATATCAAAATAAAGCATGCAGTGTTGCAAAGATTATGACAGATTATCTGGGTCATTACAGGAGATCTTTTTTTTTTTTTTCTTTGGCGGGGGGAGAGAAATTTTACTTAACTTCAGTCCTTTATATTTCTGCCAATTGAAATTAAATGATGGAGATGATTAGATAGTTTACTCAGATTTGTTAAGTTGGRTAAGTCCAAATCCATCTCCTCTTATTGTTATTTTTCCCTTGTAGTATATTCGCTGCCTTCAAGGAAACTTGTAGTTCTGCAAATCAGATCACCTTTTATAAAGGTATGTACGTTCCATGCTTGTTCCCACTTAAGTATTGTCTGATATTATAGTGTCTAAAATAAGCGCAACATAAGAAAACATACTCTTTCTTTATGAAATAGTTTCTTAAATCATGCCAAAAAAGGCAAAATTATTTTGTATTTATGCTATATTTATAGCAACATTCTATGCTTTTGATAGAATTTTAACTAACAAAATCTGTCTCCTCCCTTCGTTAAGCTTGAGGTGGGTTTGTTTGCTTATTTGTTTCAAGCTCTGGAACAACTCAACTAGTTCATTAGAATTTAGCGTAAATACATCCCTAGTTATTAGGGACAAAACAAAGTGGTTTATTTTTAGTCCATTATTTTATATATGTATAATGAATGGAGAACGTAAAAACATTAGGAAGTAAATTGGGGTGGCAGGAAAAATTGAGCCATTTATGAAAAGACAAATGCACAAAGACAGTAAACATGAAGAACAAAATATAAAGATATTAAAGAGATAAAGATAATAAAGATATAATTTTAACTGTTAACTATATAGTGATTTCAGATGGGCAGAACAGCACACCAGAATAAATACTGTGGAATTATATCATCTCATGTTGTTCTGTGCTTTTTCTTCTGGTGGATTAATGAAACACAAATAAGTGGTACAGCTATTATTAAATGGAATTGTCATAATTTTTATCATTACACATCTTTTTGATTAAATAAACAACTGAAGTGTTTTTTTGTTTGTTTTTTTAAATATATTTGAAGCTAAAGCCTGGATGGATATGAAGAACAAAACGCATCACCACCAAGCATTAAGCATAACATCTAGTATTGTAGACTTGTGGCTTTTCTTAAAGGCATAAAACTTTTTTTTTTTTTTCTTTCCCCGTCTTTGTTTCTCTTGCCTTTGTCTTTGCTTAAAGAACAAATACAGAGCATTTTCTGAAGCATTGCTTGACTGGGTGCTAAGCAGCAAATGTGCCAGAGTTATTCTTCTGTCTAGCAGCCATGCATACCAGCGTGACGATGAGCAACTTCTTGGGTATGTGTGTGTCCTTAAATGATTCGGTTGTTTTTATTGTCCTGTTATTTTTGGCAAACTGGTATATATCCATCTACTTAGTACTTTCTTGGTAACATCCCTTCATTTTGCTTTGTAGATCCTAAAATACTTAATATGTTATTAAGATAGTATGTTATTAGGCTTCAGCTGTGTTAGACTAATGACAAAAATCCTCAGCCGATAACGTGCTGTAAGGAAATTTGCTCTTGGCCTGCGCCATCAGCTTGCATTTTACCAACTAAGTTTGTGTTGCTGCAAGCACCGTTAGGGGTTAGTTGCTAACATACAGACAGCTCACCAACTAGGTTTTAATAATTAGTTGGAATATTTTAGATTCTTACTTTTTCTTGATTATTCTGCATTTTGAGTTCTCCTTYTTTAGTAACCTTTTCCTCTTTTTTTAATTAACTAACTTTAATTGAACTGAAAGAAGAATAACCACTTTTTAAAATTGCTTGCCAAAAAAAAAAAAAAAAACCCTTAAACAGTTTTTCTATTTAAGTGCTTGTATACTTGATATGCGTCAATTATTTGAGTATCTAAAAAGATGGTATCTTGAATGTTCAGGAGAAAAAGTTGCTTTTTTTTTTTTTTGTTTTAATAGTTCTGATGCAGTGGTTATTTCTGATGGAAGAAATCTAACTTGCTTCACATTCAAGTATATCATTGAAAAATATAGCATTTAGTTATGTTTACGGCAGGAAGTTGAACAGCCGCTGATTCTTGCAGCTCCTTTCATTCACAAGTAATAACATCTGTGTTGTCTTGTATTCTCCCACTGAACATATCCTTGATCTGTTCTTAGGACTCCACTGCGCTACTTACTTACACCTGCACTTGAGGAATCAGTAGCAGGCCTTATGCAGGGATTAAAATGGAAAGAAATGGAAAAAGTAGCAGCCTACCCTGGAGTAAACGATACAGAGAAAATTCTAAATATACCTGGAGGTGGCATCACAAAACTGCTGTTTACCGAGTGGTGAGTGAGCTGCATATAGAAACGTGTCCTGTTTTTAGTAGATAGGTAAAATTATTTTTTTAACTACTGATTCACTGGTAGGAGCCAGAGGTAGATTCTGTAATGTTGTCCCTCTTAGCAAAACAGAGCTTGGAAATATTTCTGTCTTTGCCTTTATCTGCTCAAGTGCAAGATTTGAGCAGTTTTACRTATTTTTATTTGCTGCTATTTGAATAGAATAGAGCTGCATTCCAGGTATCTTCAAATGTTCCCTCTGAGATTTAAGCCTTTCGGTTATGTCTAAGCAGGTGGATTTAAGAATCTGTGTGTTAAGCTTGGCATCTCATGTGTTAGCTCTCCTTTTGATGACCGATTATATTGTAAGGTGGGTTTTGTTTTGTCCCTCTCATTTTTCTTTCCCTGTATTAATATGTATTTTTTTATTATCAGTTTTAAAATACCAAATGTTTTCTGCTCTGCCTCAAGTTTCTTTGTCCGTATTCTACTGTTTTGTTTCTTAGAGTGGAAATTTTGAGTAAAGTAGTGATATGCAGGCTGTAAACCACTRTCTGAAGTACACTTAGATAGGCATAGTGTCAAAGGGCCTGTGTAAAAACAAGAGGATGAAAATGCAGCCTAAGTGCACAAGCAGCACCCTGGGTAACTGTCCAAACCTGCCATTCCTGGAACAGGAAATCCTGAGGTGTGAAAATACAACCAAATAAATATGTTTTTTTTTTTTTTTAAATAAACGTTATGGAGATAGTTGTGCTTAATTCATAAATATGAATTCTGAGTTCTGAGTTAGCATACAAATAAAAATCTGCCTGTTCTTATTTCAGTTGTTCAAAAGGAATCCAAATGGCAGTTCTTCTGAAATTCTGCTCTGAAGGGGACAATATCCCTGATGCATTTGCTCTTGTTAACTATCTTAATGAATGGCTCCAGYTAATTAAATGTGAAGTAAGTGCTGTTTTCTCATCTAAACCTCTTGTTTTTCTTATTTTATGACAGTTATTTTCATTTTTGTTCAGGATAGAACTTACAAATGTTTGACTGAATTCTGCAGATTGAGACTGGCTTTTATGGGTTCGGTTCCCTTTGGCCCTTGGTCACCGAGCACAGTACCGAATGTTTTGTGTTTCATAGAATTGCAGAATCCTTAATGTTAGAAGGGACCTCTAGAGATCATCTAGCCCAGCCTCCCTGGTCATGCAGGGTCACTGGGATTGTGTCTGAGTGAGTTTTGAATAGCTCCAGAGAAGGAGATTTCACCACCTCTCTTGGCAGCCTGTTCCGGGGCTCTGTCACCCTCGCTGCCAAGAAATTTTTCCATAAGTTCCTGTGGAACTTTTGGTGCTTCGGTTGGTGGCCATTCCCTCTCGTCCTGTCGCTGGCTRCCACTGAAAAGAGGCCGGCCACATTCTCCTTACTTCCTCCCTTGAGGTATTTATAGACACTGTTTATAATATAATGCTTATATTTTCATGCTTCTCTAGATTATATTTTTATTATATTTTTGTATTATACATTTTGACTGAATTCACCTGGGAATTCACCTTGTGTTTGACAAGTATGGAGGAAATCTAAAGGTTTGAACTGATTTGATCTTAGTTTTCTCTAAAGCAATCCGTAATTGAGTCACCACTTGAAAGGATCTCTTTAATACATATGCCAGAGATAGAACTACATTAAACTGCATTATTCTCTTAAAGCTTTTGAAGAATTACTCTGTGTCCCTTTTGCAGAGCAACAATTCTACAGCTACTTCTCCACAGTGGAAAATACCAAGTTCTTGGCGCTTGCTTTTCGGCAGCGGTCTCCCACCTGCGCTCTTCTAATTGCTTCTGGGTTTTCCTGCAAGCCTCCCCTTTACGTGTAACATCCCCCGAGAAGATGGTTGCTCAGTAATTGCCAAGCAACAGCAGCTTGCTTTGCTGTGKACATAAATATTCTTTATATAAGAAGAAAATTCCTTTTGCATATTAGGCCTATTGACCAAAGAAATATGGTTTGTACAGCTGTTTATGGGAATACTGTTCTTTTTTTTCTTTTTGTAATAAAAAACATTTGGAAAAGAAAAAACTTTTTCTTTGGTTGGTATTATTACCATGGGAAAGCTTGCATTTCCCTTTGCTTGATATTGATAATACCTGAGAACTTGAGATTATTGTGCAGATCTTTTCCTGAAGATGAAACCCTACTCTTCTGTGTCAGCTTTATATCTCCTTATATCACCATGAAGGCTTTTGGGAGGGGAAGGGGCTGAACACTAAAGTTTTGAAGTTTTGTTTTGTTCTGCTTTCTTTGCACAGTTGCTGCTGTGGTGATTTTTCAACTGAGAGGGGCGAGAGAAATAGTGGCCCTTTTTCTTTTCTTTTTTTTTTTTTCTTTCTTTCTTCTCTCATGTACCTTCCCCATGTAATTTCCATTTTCCTTTCAAGGGTTGCAAAAATGCCAAAGTTTTCTAGGTAGATAAGCCTTACTAGAAACTAATTGGGCATTAACAGAGTGCCCTAAGACTTAAGAGAACAAAATTGCTTTGGTAGCAGACAAGAAATCTAAGTATTTTACAGTCCTATGTCTACTTTGCATCTTGGAGAATGGGTAGGTGGCGTAAATGCTCCATGGATAATTTCATGTTGAACTGCTGCCACATACGGTCTTCAAAGGTCGACAGTCTCACGGTAAATGGAGCACTTGTGTAGGTCCTGAGTGCAGGTGTGTACAGAACAGTGTAAGCAGGAGCTAATCGCTCATGGCATTAGGAGAACTGCAGAGGCTGTGTGTTCACTTTATGACATCTGCAGGGTCCTCTTTTTTTTCAGGCCTGAGTTGTGCAACCTTGGCACTTCTTACTGCTAAATGCCACTCTAGAAATATCAGGTAAYCCTTTGTTCCCAACTGGCTTCTGCTGTGCCCTCCGAGTGAAGGTGCTGCCTGGTGTAATTTAGTCCTGGTCCTGCCCTCCGAGCTGTGAACTGTGAGGGGACAGAAGCTTCTCCGAACAAAGCAGCAACTAGCATAGAACTGGCATCAACAGAAGATGAGCAAAGTAACATGACTTAAAGGAGCACAGCATCATTGTGAGAGTAAAAATTTATTTTAGCCCATGATCTTAGGATCACTTTCCAGGAAATTTCAAGTGACTTTGTTTTTCTGTGTTTTTTTTTTTTTTTTCCCTTCCAGCTGCAAGTACGTAGAAGACTAAGCCAGTCTGAAGCCTATTTTAGATCCTATCGTGATGAATTATCATTCTTTAAAACTCTTCATATCTTGCATTTTTAGGAAAGGACTAGTACTTTAAGAGTTCTTCAGATGTCATCCATTGTTTTGATGGGTTCTCACATTTTCTATGAAATGAATACATCAGCTGTAACTGAGCAGTACTGGGCTTGGGGAGGCTGGTAATAAGCATGTATGTGAATGCCCTGCATTGCCTGGGAATGCCCAGTGTTCCCCTGCCTGTGTTTGGAGTGGGCTGTAGAATGGGAACTTTCCTGACATGCTGGAGAATTGTGGAATTCTGCTGGAGTCACTAGACCACCTGACATACTGGATACTAAAATCAGTTGTACAGTTTGTAGGTTTTCACAAGGTGCCAATTATTCTTAAAGAGGGGAGTGAAGGCACCCTRTACACCAGGCAGAGAGGGGGGCCTGGAAGCAGGGGGTCGCTTAGGCTCTTTGCTTGCAGCTCTCGTGAATTAAGCGCCTGAATKTGGAGCTTGGGCACAGGAGCCCGTGCAGCCCCATAGCAGCCAGTGCGTGGTCCTTACCTTGGTTTAGGTCTTGGGCCCAGACTAGTGTGCTGCTATCTCTGCCTTKGTGTGGAGGTCACACAGTTACCACCCTTTTGAAGGGTGACTTCAATTTGGAATATTTCAATTAATTCCAAATAAAATAATGCAGCCAAGCCAAAAGTGATTCACTAAGGCCTGAGGCGTGCTTCCAAGTGTAGACTTACTGGTGGTGCCTTGTGATTTAGGTGCTCAAAGGCAGGACATAGAGAGGGCACTATCAGCCCTGGAGCTTAACAGCAATAGAGACCTAAGCCTTAGTTTCAAAGAMGACGCTGCCTCACCAGCTGCTCTTGCTGCTGTGGTTGCACCAGCTGTAGGCGTCTGGAAAGAAAAAGCCATTTATCTGTGCTCCAGCACCAAGAATACAAAACTGTACATGAAGGCATCAGGTAAGTCCCTGTGTGTAACACAGGATAAACGTCCCTAAGAAAACAGTAAGGCTGGAATGCATTGTAACCTAAAAGCAGCAGCAGGTAGTTTAGAGGTAGTTAACTAGGTGGAATGAATTTCCTTTCCCTTTCACCTTTTACTGCCTTAACCAAAAGACTGTTTGAAAAAAAAGGCAATGGAAATACAAAATAATATTAAGCTTTCTTGGTCTAATTTTTTGCTGTCATTTGGTTGACTGTGATAATACAGTTTTCCACTGCTGGAATCTCTTCAGCTATTTATCAAAACTAAGGCATGAAATTTAGTATTTTGCGCAATTAAAAGGCTGAATTCTATTAGTTAGGGCTCTTCTAAAATTTTCCAGCCTCAGAGAGGTATCGCAGAAGTCCCAGCCTCCATGGTCACATTATTTGGATCAGCCTTCCGCTCTCCTTAGTTTGTCTAACTCGAGTGTGATTGGGGCACAATCTCTCCAGAGGGCAGAGATCCTCACAACAGGGGTGGGTTAAACTACTCTGCCTGCTTAAATTATCTTAATCGGAGATTCAGTTACAAAAAAAWAAGTTCTAAAAAACTTCAGACCAGTAGTTAAAAAACCAGCCACACTACAGAACTGTCCTAATTCTTGGTAGTGAAGATGAAGCCCCGACCATTGCAGGCTGGCCACAAACAATTTTTATAGTGTTACAGAAAGGTGGAAAGTGAACCCGGTAGCACAGGAAAAAAAAATCTGCAGCAACCTAGTCAAAAGAGTATTTAAAGGCAGAAATGGTGTATCTGTTGTGTGGTGTTGCAGCTAACAACTAAGGATTTACCTGAAGCCCTCACAACAGAGGCTAGGGCATGGCAAGGGCAACTCCAAAACTGCCAACAGACGTTTTCAAAATGACACTTCTAGGACACATCTAGGAGTTTCTCGGAGGCTAAAACACAACCGGTGGAACAGCAAGCTGGGAGATGGCAACTCCTGTTCCTCGGGCACCCTAGCACAGCCGGGGAGCCTGGCGAGCGCCGAAGGAGCCTGGCAGAGGACGGTGCCCTCCGTATACCCCGGGCTCCAGTCACGGCCGGGACGCACATGCTACCCCATGGCAAGCCATGCACAGCTGTGGAAAGAACCCATCGTGTGATCGTTTTGAAAAATAAGCAGCTTTTCTACCTCTTACAAAGCTTCTATGAGGACAAATAAATTACTGAAGATGGAAAATGAAGGGGCTGTTTGGCTCCTAGCAACTTTAGCTTAGTTAGGTGAACATCAAGCACCTCCTCAAGTGAAGCACTGCTGAATAAAACTCGCAGGAGAGGGTAGGTGAGTAAGTGTCCAAGCTAGCAGCTCTCAGCAAGGAGAACTCCAAGCTTGACTTGCCCCCGTGKAAAAGACACAGCTTCTTTCCTTGCGGGTGCTACAGGCGGCTCTCGGGGTCCTCCAGGGAAGAGGGGGTGATGGGTGGCTTCAGCTGTGGTGCCCCCCGCGCTCTCGCTCTGGGCCCGGGCTCAGGAGCCAGCCAGGAAAGGCTGCGCTCCTTGCTGCAGGATTGCTTGTGATTCCTTGCTGGAGAGAAAGGCAGGTTGGGTAGCCACGATTCACAGTTCTTCAGCTGAAGCAGCTCCAAGTCTGTCATTTGTATCTGTGCTTAGAAATGGGTGGTCTTTTTCCTAGAGTGCCGCTGCTCAACTTTCTTCATCTTCTTGAATACTTTCTCCAGAAGAGCAGGCACCAACTGGGCTCTTGTGCAAGAGCAGCGAGGAGCAACCCCAGCAGTGCAGAGCGGCTGCTTGGTGGCAATGCTCCTTTCCCCTCTACTCCCTCGGAGGAGCTGTTCACGGTGCTCTGACAGAGCTAGCTGGCAGCCGGGGGAGAGGGGCTCTGCAAAGGGGAGGGTGAAGGGTTTGGGGAAGAGGCCGCCTGCACACATGGCCAGCACGCACAGGGCACCATTTGTACTTGGGAGCTAAAGCAGGGCAGGGGCGAGTGCTCCCCTACCCAGAGGGCAGCGAGGATGAAGCGCACGCGCCTGCAGGSCTGCCGCCGTGCGTGTAGCAGCGAGGCCAAGGCAGGGCCGGCAGCGCTCAGCGGCACACGGGGCTAAGCAGCGGCTCCAGAGAGGGGACACGCGGCACCGGCAGCTCCCGGCACCCTTCTGCACCGCCGGCATCTTCCGCAGTCATCAGGGCCAGATCTTGCTCTCTCCAGAATGCCCCCTTGCACAGCTCCGGCAACTGGCTTGCAAATGAAAGCGCCAGCAAGTTTTAATGCTTTTCTTCCAAGCAAATACAGMCTGTGAACTGTTCTAGTCATCCAGAGATATTTAAAACACACAAGCCAGATGCTGCTGGTGGTTTAGACTACTCTGCAATAGTGCCAAGCACATATTTAGCTCAAATAATCCTTTTGCTTCAGTTTCACACACAGTTATTTCCTGAATCGGTCTGAAAACTTTTGCTAATATTTCCATCAACTTATTTCAGCAGAARCACCCTTAGTAGTTTCATACACCTGGGTCTTTCCTGCTTTTTCTCCTCCTTCCCACCCTCAGCAATATTAAGCTATCTCATTTATACACACCCCTTTACACAAAAAAAAAAACCATAAAAATGTGCAAAGTACAGTTACACAAAAAACCCCACAGCATCCTACTTTGGATATTCACACTAATTTGTTGCAAATTAAGCCTTTACTTGAAAGTGCTGCAGAACTTCAATGCAGCATTTAAATTGTTATAGAATACACAGGGCTCCAAGCGCTGCTGAGCTCACTGAGCYAGCCCCTTAAATCCTATTCCAGCTCCTCCCTTTCCACTCCTGCCCCTCCAAATGCATCCAGTGAAGAGCTGATCAGGGACTCAGGMTGTCAAATGAAACATTACACGCAGAACACTCCTAAGAGCATGAGCCTGAATCTCTTGAACTAAAGGTTGACTGTGGGTGCCTCCCCCAGCTCACAGTACCATTAATTCTGTACAGCCGGGGGTATCAAATCTTCAGCGTTCCTCTTGCTCCTTCAAGGCATCAGCACTAGCAAAACACTTTCCCTTCAAAGCTGCTCTGTCCTCTGCATAAGTCACAGTAGACATGAGGAGGGTAACTAAAGCAACTCGGTAGATGAATGAGGAGATACTCGACAAAGAGCAGGGCCAGCGTGCCTGGCTGAATTCTTAGCAGCAGATCCACGGAGGTGCTTGCATGAGGATCATTCTACGCAGAATATTTTGCCATCTTCCAGTTATACAGGAAACGGTGAAGCCTTCAGATAAAATATAAATTCCCCSCTCCTTACCCCCAAGAATCTCTTAATGGTTTTTTCCTAACATAATGCACACACAACARCATGTTGTCCATTTAAAAAAATATTTAATGCTGCCAAAAACATATAAAAATACAATAAGAATGGCAGTACAAAACAAAGTATTTTCTAATTTATTTCTTTTACATCTTTCTACATTAATACAGGCATTATAAAAACACAAGACAGCAAAGTATTCTGTTTTGCAGAGTAGCATGCTGGTGGTATTCTTCATCCCCTGGCTGGAGTTTACGCTGTAAACAGATAATTGAGGTCCTCTCGGTATTTATTAGACCTCAGCTTTGTTCCCGGAGAGGGGTCATGTCTCGCTTTGCATGTCAATGAGGTGCAGTTTATAGCTGCAGCACATTCCCAAGTCTCGAGGGCTTAGGTGTCAGTCAGTCTCGGCCTACGACATACAACGCAAAAGAAAGTCACCGATTCAGTACACAGTGCAAGGGAAGAGCAAGAACACGCCACGGGGTCGCAACCCGCGGTAAGGCACCAAGCAGCCGCTCAAACCACCCGGCGCGCTGGGAAAGCCCTTGCTTTGCCACARGGATTCTCCCCAGTGCAAGAGGCTAACCGGGCCCCTTGCTCGCCGGAGAGCTCCCGCACCCAAGCACGGGCACTGCCGAGATCTTCTCCCACCTCAGCGGGGCAGAGAAGGCAGCGCCTCGAGGTGCCGCCTTTGCAGGCCAGGCCTTTGGAGGCCAGGCCCAGCGCCGCGGCAGGCAATGTTCCTAGGCAAGTCCTGCGTGTGCCGAGGGAGCTGCTCCAGCACAGAACGGCTTGTCCTGAGGCAAGCCTAGGCTGCCCTCAGAGACACACGGAAGGACCTCGGTATTTACAGCATCAMAGTACCCAGGGAGCTAGAAGCGAAGAGCTTGAACCTGCTACAAACCCAACTTCATTCACAGCAGCTTTCTGTCAGTTAAAGCATTGAAGAATTCTTCCAAATACGAATGYTTCCAATTTAAATAAAGACGCAGACAGAGGTACACTTTTGAACGTATTTATTTTCAATACATTAAAAAAAGTGAAAGACTGATCTAAAAAAGCTGCAAGAGAGACAGGAAGGCTGTGCGTTACGCTGGCTTGGCAGATCTCGCACCCGTGCCGAAGGAAGAGCTCCGCTCGTCACCACCAGCGGCTCRCGCCGCCAGGCCCCGCGGCGCCCACAGCGAGCGCCTCAGGCAGCAGCGCCTGCTCAGTGCGGGGCAAGCCCAAAGCCAGGCGGGCTGCTCGCCCCGGCCAAGCGCGCCCGGGCACACGCACAGGGCACGCGGGAGCCCCGCGCCCGGGCACGCTCACGCTCCGGCCCTAGCCAACTGATCAACATGGATACGGGAGACCCTCCCGCATCTCCTCCCCTGGGAAACTCTGTGGAAGGGGCCCGGCTTTGTGCGAAGSCCCCACCCGGCTGCCAAAGCAGTAACTGATCAAACGCTCTGTTTGCTCTGCAAATGCTTTGCTTAATGCAACATTTCCAAAACGAGGACGGCGAGGGGAGGCTTCAGTCGCTGTAAGATTTAGAGCCAGAAGTTCAACATTACAGAGACAGCAAAGCAACAACCTGCAGCTTGCCAGAAACTGCAATTTTCTTTGCCTTTGTTTTTACACTTCAAGCATCTCCTAAAACACAAGTCCCAGGCACTGACMGGCCTTCGTTTTGATCCACGTTTGTTCTTATTTAACATCCAAGCTGTTAAAACTGCCTTAAACTGAAATTCTACTGAACAACAAACAGCATCACACAGCTCAGCTCACTTCTCACAAACATTTTTTTTGAAGCACAGAAGGCAAGAAGGCTGATTTTGTCCCAACGCGGTTACTAATGGTCCAGAAARTAAGATCTCATCCAAATCATTTCCTGGAATACACTTAGAAATCTAACCCTTAATCTCCCTTCCCACTCCCACACAATGACAGACTACTCAGAGCGCAGAACGGTTTTGAGCAAGGCTCCTAATTAACAGCTGGACTCTGGAGATGCACCTCACGATGCAGCCAGATCAGCTCTTACACACCACCTGTTTCACATGCAGCCCTATTCATCACGTCGAGAACCTAAGAACGGGATACGAGAGCATCCCACACACCCCCTGCTCCCATGACCAGGGGAAGAACGAAAAAAAAAAGACAAAAAGTCAAAATTCAGAGAATGAAGTTAAAAAAGAAAGAAAGAAAAAAAGGCTTCGAGTTGACAATACGCAGAGCTTAATGGCAACAGGGTGCTTGTGGCCCAGGAAAATTCCTTTCGTGCTGAGAAAGGAAATTGCAGTGTTATTTCAGGGAAGCGCTCTTGCATTTTTTTCCCTACCTGCTTTAAAACACTAAAAATCTCAAATATTTCTTTGTTACAAAAAGCACTCTTACATTCCACATGTTTTCCCAGGGACAAAACAACTTTTGCGAGGCACATACATGGGCAGTGGGAATTAGTAGAGCGGACACGGATACACCCTCAGTCTTCACAAGCCGAAGCGTGCTGCCAGCCTCTCGCTCAGCAGCAGCAATATCRTCTGGTAACGGCGCAATGCCCCCGCCGTGCCCAGGCCGCGGGCCCCGCACAGCGCCACCGCGACCGGCGAGTCACAGTCGGTCACTCGCGCGACACGACAAATAATCTTCTTTTAACGAACGATGCTCTGAACTGCATCTCCTGAGGAGCTACCCTTGCTTGGTTTCTCTCCGCTTTATCCGTCCGCTTAGGCAAAGCACTTGTTTGCTACATCAATAGTTTAGCCCGGAATAGTATTAGCTATTGTGAAATGGGAATTTCAAGGCGGGAATCTCACCCTGGCTCTGTGGCGAGCTCCAGAGAGCGGCATGGAGACATGAGCCGTTCTGGCGCGCGTGACGCGAGGCAGGGCTCGCGCGGGCAACACCACGCGAGGTCAGCGCCAGCCCCAAGGCAGAGCGCCGCGGGGGCCGCCTCTCCCGGGCAGCGGCCAGCACCCGGCCCGCCCCGGGCGGCTCTCGGGCACCTCAGCGTTACGGCGGTGGCCGGGAGAACTCACAGCACTGGCTATGGTAGAGCATTCGCGACATCTGCTCTCAATTCAAGGCACCCTGGCAAGTCAGGCTTTTCTTTCATGTACCTTCTACGCCCATTCCTAGCAAATGAAGTTTACTCCTGGTAGCAAGTAAAATCTATAGACACACAAAACATCAGGATTCACATTTAATGGAATGTCAGAACTTTAACAATGCTGGGCTTCAAACAAGAGCTGAAGTCTGAATACATGAATCACTTTAACAGTAGGCTCTCTCAGTGGGGGCAAACTCCTCCAAAGCTTTAAAAAAAAGTCAAATCTCCAAGCCTTATTTAAATAATGAAAACTACAAAAAAATAAATAAGGAATGCAAATTAACAAAAAGAAATTGGTAAGTGCTTCATCAGACCCCCTAGCTGCTCATTTCAGAAATCTGAGTCAAAATATGGGGAATGGTTGCACTGTCATCTTCATGCACAAATTATATAATTAACATTTAATTTCAAAATCAAATTCTTTTTGGTCAGAAATGTGTACAAACTGAGCTTTTAAAAGTACAGTAAACTACAAAAAGATTAAATATGCAATTATAAAATATATTTATCCTAGTTCATAAGAATATAAAATGTTTATGTTCACGTCACTAATACATTACACATTACACACATTTACGTATAACTTCTTTGCATTAATGATGTAAAGGATAACAACACTGTTTATTGCTTATGTCAGGCATGTAAATTAAAACCCAGACAACCTTCAGGGGCTAAACCTCCGAGTTCAGGGTTTACCTAAGAGATTTGGTCTAATACCATTTTCAAAAGTGTATAAACAGTTGCAGCAAGTTTGTACCTGGTCATATAAATGAAAAAAATATATATATATATATATATATGTATATTGTTGGGGGTAGCAGTTCGTTTTCCTAAGTACCTGCAGTGGAGAGTCCTGAGATGTTGACATGTGATCAGTTGGTATCACTGCTCTACTTTGCTCCTAATCGTGTACCCATTCCAGGTGGGAAAGTTTCCTGCTTTAAGTCAGACCCCTGGCCACTACCTGCAGCACAGTCACCTGCCAGAGCAGGCTTAGCGTTTACTTACGAGGAATGTTCTTGAAAATACATTTTCCAGCAAGAAAAAGCTCCAGCTAAAATCAATGCACCAAACCCAATCTTAGCGAGAATAGGTTTCCAATATAACCACCTTTTTCTTTTTCTTTCAGTCTCATTTAGCTTCTGCTTCATCTGCTGCAGCTTCTGTGCTGTGATAGCTTTTCTATCCTCTCGGAGCCGTTTTCGAACAGTACTTGAAAAGAGAGAGAAGGAAAAGGTAAATTCTAAGCTGCAGAACRGGAAAAATCCCTATTAGAACAGTAAAACCAAAATTCTCTTCCCAATCTGTTTCCAATAATTAACCCATCTGACACAGCATAAAAATGTAAAAAAAAAAAAATCTCTGTTTTAATCTTAAAGTGCAATTCCAGTATGTGAAGCCGATAAAGTTGGTAAACGATATACACAAAGCCTAAGCTAAGTACCAAGTAAACAATAATTGCCTTTGGACTAACATGCAAGCAGAGGCTTCCTTTCCTGGGGGTCGCTGCCCGCAGGCACACAGTGTTGGGCGCTGCACACGTGGGCCCTGCAGGGCTAGCAGCAGCCCCTCTGGCACGCTCTGCTCACCCACGCACGTCGGTGGCTCTAGCGCTGCCCGTCTTCGGCTGTAAGACGGGGCTGCATCCGAGAGGCCAGCTAAGAACCGCCGGTGCGTTGCTGCGCTGCGAGCGACTCYCGTGGCTCCCGTGGGCAGCTCGGGGGCAGGACAGGCGCCCCTGCAGCGTCGCTCCGCCCCAAACACGCGGGGCCTCCGTGCTGCAGGGCGGCAATCCGGGGGCGGCGGGCGCCTGCATCCCGCCCAGCCGCTGCTCCCTATCCGCGCAGGGCAGCTGCCGCGGCGGCTCCCGCCAGCCCGAGCGCCGAGCAGGCCGAGGGCACGGCCCGGCCTCGGCGACACCGCTGCAGCCACCGCCCAGAAAGCGGCAGGGGAGAGCTGTGCGCTTCGCACGCATCACGCATCTTTTTCCCCAACCAGGAGTGATCACTGCATTTAAAAACCAGTCTAATTTTGCTGGGCAGTTTTATGACCTGACGTGCACTGGGCAGAGCTCACAGACTGCRGGAAACTGCTTTCCAGCATCAAGTTCAGCTTCGTCAACTCTAGGTACTTGTTCTTAATTCCACCTCTGAACAATAAACTTTTTATCACAAGAAATAACTCAAGTTCATTAAAAAGGCATAAGCAAGACTGTTAAATACCACCTTTCTTTGCTAAAGAAACATCTTAAACRGAGGTTTCCCTACAGTAAGAAGAGCAGATAATAACTTGGCCAGTATTAAGAGTATCTCTCCCTTCTAAATTCTTTGCCTACCTTTCAATGCTTCCGTCTGTTATATCTTGAACTTTATTGGACAGGTCGGCATTTTTCTCCACTTGATCTTGCTTCTCCAGGCCTATGCTGTTGCCATTGTACTTCTCTGTGGTTATTTTGGTGGGATGTGGAGGAGACTGCTCAGAACTTGGTGCTTGGTCCTCCTTAGAGAGCTCCTTCCACCTTTTCTGAAGCAGGGAGAAGAGATTTAAAACATCTTTAACACCAAAAATGCCYCCACCCAAGATATTCCCACAGAAGAGTCACAGCAATAAATTAATGGAACTACTAGGACAAGATAAAAAAACAATCTAGATAAAGAAGTAAGTTTAAATGAAGACTTATATTCTCCAGGAGTAGCGCTGAGTAGCATTAACACGAACATTTGACTGTTTTGAAACACCAGGATGTGTTTTTGAAACACTAGGATGATTTTCCTTAAGCTCACAAAGGATTTTCAGGTAGTTTCTTCCAYCCAGTACACCTTCTTGCCAGTTCACCCTAACGGATAAAGGCGCTTCCAGGTAACCAGTGTGATGGCCTAACTGTAACCAGTACTAGCTTTGCTCACCGTGCAGATCAAGAGCCAAACCCAACTGTTTCAGTGGTCACTCGTGCCGGAGGGGAAACCTAACCAGGCAAGCAYGTACGTGCTGGATGCACCAAATGTTGCAGCGACGCCCCCGGCACCGCCAGCGTGCCAGGGAACAAGGCTGCAACAAGCCCCAGGACTTGGACCGCGACCCGTCAGCGACTCCTGCTTTCCTAGAGAGACTAGCCGAGCGCTAGCAAGGATGCTCATGACAAGAGACTGATTAATAAAAAACTCCCTTTCCTTAAACACAAACCCTAGCCTGGCTCTCTGTCAGCGTGCTGCCTTAGCACCAGCAGGCAGAGGTGAGGCATCTGCTCAGAAAGGGACGTGGCTGCAAACAGAGCACGTAGCACGTGATTGCTCTCCTGCAGGAGGGTTTTGCTAGGACAAAGCTGCTCCTGCCTTTGGAGGAGCTCACACTTCTGTGGAAGCTGCTCATTAGATAAGGAAACGCCCAAACTAATCCCTGCAACATGCAAATGCACCACACGAGCAGAAGGTGTTTTTTTTTTTTTTTTAAATATTAAAAAAAAAAGGCAGGGTAGTTTTAGGTAAGCAGGTAATGAGGCAGGGAAGAGTGAGGCTGGTCTAAGACTATTGAAATTAGAAGAGTATTTACAAGCCTTTTTACTGCTGACAGCTAAAAGCAGCAACGAGAGCCCTTCAAGCACTTCTAGACAGGCAGGAAGGGAAGGATTCTCAAGTTTCATTAAGAGCACGTGAATATTTGGTCTTCTTAGCTGAAACGCTGGCATTACAAACATCAAAGTCCTACAAAGGGCAAAACTACCTCTTCAACATCTTCATCTCTTTGCTATTGTTTTCATTTTTTTTTTCTCTAGTAACGTATCTTCATCTTTGTATTTCCAGAAACCGATACGTGGAGCGATCTCCAAGAGCCCCAGGCACTGCCCTGGCCCCCCGGGGGGCTGCCCGTGCCCCAGGTGCTCTTCTCCGCCCCTCAGCATGGAAGCCAAGGTCTAGGGCCTGCGCCACCGGCAGACTGAGCGGGGCCACGGAAAGGCACCTCAAGACTTGCAGCTGTCAGAACCAGAGGCACAGCAGAGAATGTTTAGATTCATGGATTACAGGACAAAACTGTAATATTCCTGTTCTCTAGCTAGAAAAAAAAAATCTGTGGATCTATGGAATTCAGCCGCCTTTGTCCTCTGGAAGCCTCTGGTTAGTTTTTCAGCTATCACTCGCTTTTTCCRAATGCCTAATGACAAGTTATTGTGCCATATTGTGGAAATGGCCGGTCTGCTTTAGCAAGGAGCTGGTTTACAAAGTGGCAGCTTTAGCCTTGTTGCTTTGCCCTCCTTTCAATACAATCCAGTGCTACAATGCAGTTATGAACCTAGGGCCCTTCTCAGACCACTGGCCCAAGACCCACGCAGCTCTCCGATCCTTTCCTTTCTYGATGTCACGCGTAGCAGTGCCGCAGGTGCCACTGCAGGGGACACTCTCATCCTCTCCCCATAGAGGCACTGCGGTCGCAGTCCTCTAGCTGAAAGCCAGTACAACACAGCCTGCCACGTCTCAGAATTACACAGTTTAGTAACTTCACAGACCCATGGAGGAGCCAGAGAGCAGCACTCAGCGTGTCTCATTGCAGGGTCACGCTGAATAATCTCACCCCCTTCCCCATCAAGAGCAGACAGGAGTAGAYGGACTGTCTGGAGAAGATGGTATTTCCCGGGGTGGGGGGAAGAAAGCTCTACTTGGCCTTGAAAGGAGAAACTCTTATAAATCCTGTGCTTATAAACACAAGTACTGATTTCCTGTATGGGACCCCGAGGCCAGGACAGCTAACGGGAGTGCTGAAAAGGCTGCCTGAGGAAAGGTCATCTGACGCCCCGCCAGACCCCCAAATAAAGGAGAGAACAGAGAAATGTGCCTTCTCCGGCCAGTTCCCAGTGTGAGAATAACACACTTGTAGATGAAAAGCTGTATTCTGAGTTGACAACGCTTCCTTGTATCCACAAACAAGAAATCCTGTGGTCTAGATGGACAAAATGTGGGAAATGAAGCTGCTGAGTTTTAAGCATGGCCTTTTAATACACAAAGGCAGAAAGATAAGCAGAAAATCGGGAGGTTAAGTCACTGTCTGTGCTCGGGTGAATCRGGCAACGCTTCGGTCACAAGACGCACGTATCAGACTAGCATCTCCTTGCTGCTGCCTAGGGTGGTGCGAACTGACTATTTCACACTAAGACWACGAGTATTTGTCAGAGGGAAGACTCTGGCAGCTACCAGAAATGCAAAAGACAGGAAATGTGTTTTAACTGACCAGCTTCATTCATAATTTCAAGAAGTCAACAAAATATAAAAGCTCTAGCATATGAGAGCAGATAAAGGCTGTTTCACAATGTCCCCTCCCCCAGCAAATACCCAAAACACAACCACATAACCCACCAACACTTTAAAGCAGGTGCAGCTGCTATAATTACTGGAAGCCACACTGAAAAAAAAGAWCACAATGGCCTAGACTCTATTAAGAATAACACAAATTTTAGAGGTGATGGAAAACTTAATAATCTTTACCAGCAGTAAAAAAGCATTTTTAGTGTTGGGAAATTATCTAGCAAGAAAAAATTAAAACAAGGACTGATCCTTGTCATTTTTCAAAATGATTCTGAATGTTACCTTTGCCTTTCAAAAAATTTTATTCTTTTATATTAGTACAGACAAGTTATATTTACATTTTATCTCACAGAAAACAAAAACATAGGATTAAAAGTTTAGCTAATAGAAAGTGCCAATTAAACACCCCAATACCTTTTAGACATCTAATAAAAAGTTCAAATTATTTAAATCCTAGAAAGTTATGTGTTTTAAAATAGCTTAGAGCCCATTATCATCTGCTGTTAGTAATGTACTGCTCCTGTTTAGATATATACAGCTAAACACTTACCTGTATAGTTGAATCCCCCATTATAAATTTAGCTCCTTCTATTACAGCCATATATGAAAATCTTAATTGATCAGGAGTTTGAATAAGTCCCATTCGGTATTTTCTCATATCCAGTAATACTTTCTTAATATCTACAGATAATGGGTCCTTTTTTTCCATCTGTAAGAGATTTATATTTAAAAATTCATAGCTACAGAAAAATGAAAATACATAAAATACAGTTAAAATGCACCAAGTCATAAAATTCAAACTATAAATTTCTTCACATGTTGCTACTAGTTATATAAGAAATTAACATTTCAAGAACATTTCTAAATTGTTTTCAAAGAAGTAATGTATTTAATTAAAATTTATTATGAATAAATCCATGATCACATATTATCCAAAAACTCAATACCACGATTGCACTACTTGTGCTTTAGTATTTGAATAGTAATGGCTACATGCATAGAAAGATACATTTCTTTAAAACACACACAMAAAAAAAGGAAARCTGAAGAACAGAAAATAAGGTGGGGTCCTATCCAAAACATGAGACTCCTGTTTCTTATAATTTAAAGTAAATCCCATTCACTCAGGCCTGTGCTGTACTTCTTGCTATTGCCCAGCACAGCCAAAGAGAAGAGCTCCAGCTCTTCTACAAGCACCCACGGGCAGCCCCAGCTCACACGGAGCTGGCTGCCACCGTGGCACAGCTCAGACCTGTGGCAGAATCACTGCTCACAGAAGGAGACCTGCAGATGTGCTTCCTAAATATATATATTCACGAGTCTAATGTTGATCTAGTATTTTTAAAATCTTGATATCTTCACATGACATCTTATATGAACGGAAAAGACTACTACTTCTTTCACAGGAAACTGAAAAGATGTGTAAGGTACTCAAAATAGGTTTAAAAATCCATCTTTAAGAGCTGCACCTCTAAACCATAAAATTATGCCTCCTCAAGAAAAAAAGAACAAGGGGCACACGGTGCCTTAAAAGTCTTCACCAGAGCAGTCACCTGCTTAAAGCCTTTTAAGGCATTCTGAGCAAAATCCCACTGTGGGGGTGGGAGAGGCAGAAGGAGCAGGAGGAGGAAGGGAAGGACAGGGAAGAGGGGCCCCACACTCACCAGCACAAGACAGGTGTCGACCAGGGARAAGGTGCCGGAGCGCCCTATGCCTGCGCTGCAGTGCACCACGGCGGGCCCGTGGTCAGGGCTGAGCGAGCCAGACTCTCTCACTTTGAACAAGAAGTTCAGGAACGACGCTGGGGACTCAGGGACTCCAAAGTCTGGCCAYGTTGTATAATGAAAATGAAATATCATCCTGGACTCGCCACTCTAAAGAGAAAACAAACAAAGAATGCAGCCATGAGCGCTGGAAACTCACCACCCTTGCTCAGAGCAAGCTTTAACAGCACGGAGCACCGGCATCTGCCTCACTGACCTGCCCACACCATCAACAGCAGCAGCACTAAGCTTCATGGAAAAGCCTATGGAAAGGCCTCTAAGAACCTGTACTGTAGATGCTGCTCCTGGGAATACATATTCCTTGTGTCCAAGAAAGATACTAAGACTCCCAGCTGCTTTCTGCCCCTCTGCTAGCCCGCTCAGCTGGCTGCAGTGCAGTGCCGCAGCACGGGCTAATGTGAAACGCTCGCACCGCAGACTTGCACTGCGGCTGCAGAGCTGCTGCTAAATGCTACCCCCTACCTCCCTTCTTTTCTTGCTCTGGTGATTTGAGAATAAAATCTTTATCACTCCTGTAGTTTAATAATCTCGGAAAAGTTGTTTTTAATTCTTCTTAATAAGTCATCTTATTTTCCATATAGRTTTAAACCTAAGTCTTCACAAAACTGCAGTGCAATATTTAATTATTGGTGCATTCCAGAAGAGCAATTTTTCCTTTTCAGTAACAACCAATCTATGAAATACAAATAAATTCCAGTGTTCATCTCCTGCTCAGTTTTTTTTTCAATCTCCCAAGAGGGACAGCCCATGAAACTCCTTTGTGACACTCAGATCACCCAGCTCACGGTCATACAAGTTCTCTGTCTCTCACAGTATCATTACAGTTGGAAAGACCTTCGAGACGATCAAGTCCAACCATAAAAACACCACCGTCATGTCTGGTAAACCTGTTATTTAAAGCTTATCTTCTGCCTTCAACATACAGTTTTGCAGAGCCACAAATATTTTCACTGCAAACAGTGGATACCAAGACAAACCAAGGTACTCTTTTGGCTAAGAACTCAACAAGGACAGCAGATTCTGGTCCTTTATCTTTGGTAAATAGAATACAATAAGATTACAAAGGGAATAACTACCAAGGTCACTTAGACTGCCTAAATACACCGTGATTTCCCTTTTATTTGTCTGAAGCAAAATATTGAAAAATAAAGTTTTAGAATTGAGAGCTTCTCACTGGTATTTTGTACTGGGGGAAAAACTAATCAATTGAAATAATGGATTTGGTTTAAAAATATCGGGGAGATAAATTTCTTGAAATTTCCTAAGAAATCTAGCAATTTTAGAATTGTGAAGAAAGCATTCTAAGCAACTTTCTAARGGAATTTCAAGCATTTCTACAAGAAAACAATGTATACAAACAAAGRCTACATGCACATACTAGGCAAAGAAAAGTTTAAAGTTGTTTCTTCTAGATTTAGGTGATCCTTTGAAGTGGTAATTGACAGGGGTATCRGCCAATATCCTTATCTCTGATACCCCCCAAAGAGACTCTTAGGAAGCCTTCCAGATTACAGTCTCTCTTACTCCTTGAGAGAGAAAAAAGGGCACCTACCTATGGAAAACAGGGGTACATCACCTGAATGCCAGGCTGTATAATGCACAGCCCCACACACAGGCCCCTTCTCCCCAACACAGCCCATCAGTTTCTATTTGCAGTCCAAACGCAGCCTGCTCCCAGACTAACCTGAAAGTCACCATCTCCACGAGAATGAGAACACAATCTCATCCAGACAGATGCTCTAACCCAGAGTTATCCTTGCACTTCCTTCTCTCACCATTAAAGGCTTTACCCCTATCTCCCTGGCACTAGAACTTTCCACCTCTCGAGCTTTAAGAGTCCCCTTGCAGAGCACTGGAACAGGCCGGTCTGCWCCGAACCTGGGGGTTTTACTGGCACAGCCAAATCCATCTGCGTATTTCCAACATACCCCCTTTTCTCTCTTAAACAAAAGAGCTCTTTCAAAGGGGTTCCTGGAAGTCCAGCTGTACAGCTGAAGTGCTCTCTTTGTGGGAAGGGCYTTACCATCCTTTTCCAGAGACCTGWGGGCTCCTTCCTGCGGGCTCAGGGCAAAGCTCCTGCCACAAAGGTCTGGACCCACTGCCATTGACTGTCCAGAACTCAACTTCAGAAACAATTAGTTGTATTTAATATTACCAGGAAACTAGACATTCTGTTAAAGCAAAAAAGCTGAACTACAAGATTCATCTAGTTTTCCAATATAAACTTGATATATGATACAGTCAGAAGTGTTATTGCTTGGTAATGAAAACTAGCTTAATTCTATGGTAGCCACAGCATATTCTTGCCAGAAGTTATTCCTTAAGATTAASTACTGTGGAAAAAGAAATCCTCGAACAGCCACCAGATAACATTTAAATAAACAAACAAAAGGGCTTTCCAAGAAAATGAGTCAAAGCAAGGTCAAGTTTCAGGAAATACTAGGATAATCTTCCAGTAAACAGGCACCACAGCTCAGCAAGCTCACGAAGTTCATGCCACACCAGGGAGCTCTCCCTGACAGCTGGCAACACCAGCCGGGGCCCAAGCAGGGCCAAGGCAACGCCACGTGGGCAGGGCAGAGCCACAGGAGAAGCTGTTGCCAGAACCAGGCTCAGCCTCCGAGTCCCTTCGGTCCAAGCTGCATGCTCTAACCCTGCAAAGCCCTGGCATGCCAGCGAGCCTACGTTCTCTTTCCCTCAGAAATACCATCTTCTCTCACACCCTTGGAGCCTTTGCTTCAAATCACAGGCATGCTCCAATTTCTCACACAAGTGATTATATTTAACACGAGCAGAATATTTTTCTCTATCGTTATTTCCTGACGCAGGAAAGGGTAGGCAGATGCCTTCACCGACAGACGTGGACTGCTGCAGGATACACAGTGAACCAGGGCAGAAGGGCAGCCTCAGGCTTCTGCATCATTAACTGCTGACCACAGCAGGCAAAAAAAAAAAAAAAAAAAAAAAAAAAAAATCAGGCAAGACAAAGCACATTAAAAACATTTTTACATTTTTGGAAAGATAAACATCACCTCTTCTCCAAAACTGTACAGTACAACACCAGCCATCGAAGCAAAAATAAACCCCAAACTGCCAAATGGCATGATGTAAACCTTAGAAAAACAAGTGAGGAGTTTTGTTAACTTCTCTTAAATTACACAGTCAGAGGGCTTTTTCCATAGACAAAACCGTGGAACAAGCACTTTAGTAGAATTCTGCATTGCTGGTGAATTAGAACTGTTACAGTAACAAGAACTATTTACTTGAAAGGATTTCAGAAGGATTTTTACTAAAGCAATACTAGAGTTTGTGAAGGGTTCTTGGAATTTGGAGCAGCGGCATTTGCCGGGGCGGTCCTATATTCCTTGTGCGACAGAGCTCAGCTTCTCAGTACTCTCCCTCCGCCAAGTGCCCTGGAGAACAGCTTGCAGAAATGGTTATAGTTGCAGTTACTGTAAATACTCAGCTCTCTCAAGTTCTATGGCATATTTATTAAATTCTTATAGATGGCTACACAAACTGTGCAGTAGAACTCTGTAAATTAAGTATTTTTTCTGTGCACCTAACCAAGCATGCATTAAAATATCTTCTCTGCAGTCACTATTTCTGGAGCCTTATAGAGTACTTGGGAACTAAAACAAAAATCCAAGAGAGTAAGTTCACTAAAGATTTATGGAACTGAGCTGCATAAAGCAAGAAGCTCGATACAGAAGTAATGAACCTGCACCGCAAGTTCAAAGTAAGCCCAGAAACTCAAGTGCTTAACAGCTTAACCCTCAAAGTCAGCAATAACAGGCTGTGCTGCTTCCCCTGTGATTCTGCATTTTCCAGAAACATGGGACTTTAAGTCCCAACATCCACACATCATGAAAACTGCAACTCTTGAAAAAGAAAGTCTAAAGATTAAGGTGCCTGATGTTAGAGTCAATTCTATTATGAGAATAATAAAACAGTTTTAATAATACAGAAGACTTGCCTCAGCTTTCCATAAAAGGGGGGTTATTTCCCTCCTTAGCCACTAGCTCATCAGCACTATCCCTCCTTTCTCTGCCTTTACTGTTAATAAAAGACCAACTGAACAGGAATTCCCCAGGTGGCTAGGACAGAATTTMACTAAGTGTTTTTTTCTAGCGCTGATTAAACCAGGGAGCAACATGTCAAGTTCTCTTGCATTCATCTTGTGAGGGATGTTTCAAATTAACAATTATCAAAGTACCGTGAGTAGTTACTATAAACTCAAAAGACTTTGACCAAATATATCAACCGAGACTTTGTCAAACAAGTAAGATGCAGTTTAACATCTTCAAGCTTTCCTTCCCCAAATCCACTAGCACAAACTGAATGAAACTTGCCATATCACCATTTTCAAAGCAAGACAAGGTTTATAGGGAGATAGAATATCTTACAAGACACAGCTGGAACGGACAAGCTCTTCAATCTTGTCTTCAGCTCTGAAACAGAAGCAGCAAATTCCAGCCCAATCTCAGGCCAGGAACTTTTTTTTTCTTTGAGCTTAACTTCATTAATTGTTAGAGTGGTTAATTTTTAACATAAAAGAACAATTGGTCCTGTAGAACAAAAGGGGAGGTAAGCAAGAGGAGGTAAAGTTACCTATCTACAGGTGGTGAATACCCCCCTGCCCCACCAGAAAAACTTAGCTAGACTGAAATTATGGGGAAAGGCTGCAGAGTTCCCTAAGAACATTAATTATCAAGTGACTTCTGGTATTTGGAAGAGCTATAAATTTCAGTTCCTTGGCTCCTCCTCTTATGATACTTCTTACAGGCCCTCTTAAAACCAGCACTATAATCAATTAATACCTAGTACGTTAAAAACTGCCTAGTTGAAAACTGACTTAAGAATGTTGATGCTATTATCCTTTTTAATGTACAGATTAAAACAGATCCAGCTCTGCTGCCCATATGCCTTACATATGCCTCCAACATTATCAGACGCAAAACACATGAAAGTTTTCAGTGCAAAAGCTGAGTCAAACCTGTAGTGACAGGTTGCTAAACAGCTCCAAAGCCTTTTTTCCTTAAGCCTGGAAGTAAGAGCCATAGAGACAGAGAAAAAGCTTACGTTGATATTTTCTAATTGCAGTAGATGTACTGTGTAATAGGATTTGATGTCTTCAGATACTAGCCTCACACGGAATCCTGTTTCCTTGAAGGTCATAACTTCTTCTTCTTTTGTTGGCCAATACTGGGCGCATTTCACCTAAGTTATTCAAAAAACAAGCAAGCATTTTAGCACTTCAGGCTGTGCATCAGCGACTTGGAGCATCTGCTACACAACAGCAAACTCAAGGCCGTACTCCTATCCCTAGTCTGAGTAACTCAGAACATCTGCAGTGCTTACAACTAAGTTACTACAATTGTTTCAAGTGCTATTACACGTTCAGGCTTTATCTGCTTACGACTGCTTTTATCTCAGGGCTCGCAGTGCTTTAAGACATACTCATTTTTTGTCCCCCTCCTTCCACTGCCAACAGGGAGAGCTGTCTGCTGAGCTGTTGCAACCTTTCTCCTCTTCCATTTCCCATGTGCACACCTGCACATTTACAGAGTTTATGTAACACGTTCTGCCACATATCCTAAGACTAAATAATCTTTTGTTGCAGAAGTCTTGCCTAACACTGGAAAATTCTAGCAGGACTAAAGAATGAACTAACAAAGCAATGCAAAACTAGCACACTTCCTGCATTCTTCCTGCCTGCGCTCCMACTTTAATCCCCCCGGAAAGGGCATATATGAAAGTATGTGATTTTTCTTATGAACTAGTTGAGTCTTTTTGCTAACAAAATGAAGACTCTAAAGAAAAAAAATACATCAAGAGATTCATGTATTCTTCATATTCATCATCCGCTGTAAATAATAAAAAAATAGTTAGGCCTGTTTGACAGTTGGTGGCAGCAGCATGGCTCCACTCCTATCACCAGTTAAGATTCCTATGCAAACAACAAAATAAAMCTGTTAGATTTAGAATAATCTAAAGACACTTGAATTCAGGCGGGTTTTTCTCCTGCCTTCTGTTTTATCCCAGAGAACCCTAACCTAGCATCTACTCCACTGTAGTTCTGTCTCTGCAGCCTCTTTTCCTGGAACATTTCTTTCATCTTTCTGAATGTYTATTTGTCCAATGCTGGTTACACTGAACTGAATTCTGTACCTCAGTCTCATCACTTTGTTCAATATGTACAAAAGCTCTGCTGTACACTGTGAGAAAGTCTGTTAATTCTTTTAATAGACTTATCAATCAGACCCAATAAAACATGGCTGAAAAGCATTAAACAGGACTAAAGTTACATGGCTTGCTTTGTGACTTACTTTAAATGCCTAGCATTACTTACCGATTCCTTTTCAACAATCCTGTTCAACATGACGACTGCTTTGGTTTTTTGCTGCCATACCATTAGCCAAAAATGACAACATGTGTTAGGCAGTGGACCCTGGGTGGTAAAGAAAAAAAAAAAAAAAAAAAGTAAAACAGATGGGAGAACATATAGGCAAAGCAGTGTTTGAACATGGTCAATGTTTTATTGTGTGAAACAGGAAAAATTCTTTCCCTGAAAAGTTTACACAAACTATTAATAGAATGTTATACATGACAGGCAAGAAAATAACTATACTGCAAAGATATTCTAAGTTTAAACAGAAACCAGTTAAAATTCAGGGAAAGGATGTGTTAGTTTGGACCCTGGCACTACTGCCTAGTTAGAAGATGTATGCACAAAAGTAACAGGATGAAATAACGTGTAAAAGTAGAGCTGCAATGTAGTTCCAGGAGAGCTGAAAAGAGGGAGAAGAAATACTTGTATGGCTGCAAATGCAGTAAAACGCAAAAYGAAGCAGCGTTTTCTTAAAATACGAAGTAATAACTTTGCGGTTTAACCAAACAGGAATTAGTATTCAAGATGTGCAAGCCACAACAAATATTCAGATTGCATAGATATTACGAAGACATGTATTTGTGTATGTAGCATTATATATAGATTGCATATGAACTGCCCCTGTACCAAGTCCCCTCCATATTCTCAATCTTTGTAAAAATTTACTATCTAGAACTACTTACCTGTGTTAAAATATAATATCTCTGGGCTTCTTCTATGACCACTAGGCTGGCATTAATATAGTCATTCTCTGTGTTCTGCAGTTTTACACGACTATGATCATCTGAAATTAAGACATGGTTAAAAAATTACAGATCTAGCCATCTTGGAGAATATGCTCTCACAGGCATGTTTAGGTCTGACAAGAAATTAGAAAATTAATTTTAACTATGACACGGAAGTAAGAATCAAATGTCAAATCACAAAACATGTGAAACTGGTTTCTCACATAACTTTGATAATTGTGCTTGCCTCACCTTCCTCACAATATTGATCAGAGAGTCATTTATAGAGCTATTAATAGAAACTGCTCAGAAAATTGGAATACCTGCTTTACTAAAAACCACCACACCACTCCACCATCAACAACCACCACCCCACACTCACTGAAATAAAACAACCCACATACATACTAAAAGCAGCTCAGAGAATCACAGAAGGGTTGAGGTTGGAAGGGACCTCTAGGGACCATCTAGTCCAACCCCCTGCTCCAGCAGGGRCACCCARAGCACGGGCCACAGGGCGGCATCCAGGTGGGTTTTGAAGACCTCCAGAGAAGGAGACTCCACAACCTCCCTGGGCAGCCTGTGCCAGGGCTCTGTCACCCCCACAGGAAAGAGGTTCCTCCTCACATGGAGATGGAACTGCCTGTGTTTCAATTTATACCCATTGCCCCTTGTCCTATCACTGTCCACCACTGAGAAGAGTTTTACGCTTTCCTCCCTACATTTCCCCTTCAGTTATTTATACATATTGATCAGATCTCCTCTCAGCCTTCTCTTCTCCAGAGAAAACAGGCCCAGCTCACTTAAGTCTTTCCTGATACAATAGATGCTCCAGTCCCTTAAGATCTATGTTGCCCTCCACTGGACCCTCTCTAGAAGCTCCACATCCCTCTTATCCTGGGGAGCCCAGAACTGCACCAAATACTCCAGGTGCGGCCTCACCAGAGCTGAGCAGAGGGGCAGAATCACCTCCCTTGACCTGCTGGCAACACTCCTCCTGATGCAGGCCAGGATCCCATTGGCCTTCTTGGCAACGAGGGCACTGCTGCCTCATGGTTAACTTCGTGTCAACCAGGACTCCCAGGTCCCTCTCTGTGGAACTGCTGTCCGGCAGGTCGACCCCTAATCCGTGCTGATGCCTGGGGTTATTCCTCCTCAGGTGCATGACCCTGTACTTGCCCTTGTGGAACCTCATGAGGTTCCTCTCTGCCCAACTCTCCAGCCTGTCCAGGTCCCTCTGGATGGTAGCAAAGCTCTCCGGAGTGTCGGCCATTCCACCCAGCTTGGGATCTTCTACAAACTTGCTCAGGGTGCCCTCTGTGCCCTCGTCCAGGTCATTGATGAACAGGTTAAACAGCACCATGCCCAGGCTGAACAGCACCCCTGGGGGACACCACTGGCCACAGGCCTCCAACTGGACTCAGCCCCATTTATTACCACCCTCTGAGCTCTGCCATCCAGACAGTTCTCAATCTATSTCACTGTGCACTCAACCAGACCCCTCTCCCAGAGCTCTCCTAGGAGGATATTATGGAAGATGGTGTCAAAAGCCTTGCAGAAGTTAAGGTGGACAACATCCATGGCTCTCCCCTTGTCCAGCCAGCCCGTCTGTCATCCCATCATAGAAGGTTATAAGGTTCATCAAACACAACTTCTCCTCGCAGAATCCATGCTGAAGCTGCCTGTCATCCCTCCACAGTTCCACTTCCTTAATGTAACACCACCACAATCCACAGAAGGCAGCAGTCTATTCTATGGCAACACATCATTTCACTGATTTTCTCCCCCTTTAAGTTCAGAATGCCAAGATTTTTTGTGAACTGAGGTTTCAGAGAAAGAGATAGAATCATCACATTGAACAGAGCTAAAAATGTGAAGAACCTGCATGACACTCGCAATAATTCAAAGAGAACTTTTTCTCCTGTGACTTTAATACAAGTTTACAAGCCCCAAAGCAGCAGCACGTGCAAATGAGTACCTATTTCACAGATTTTTCCAATCAAAATAAGTCTAAATTAATTACAAAGTTGCCCTCTCCTGTGATTAAGCAGGCAAGACAGCAGATAACATTTATGACAGAGACAAGCTGTCAAGGCACTGTTTAAAATCATAACATCAATATGAGAGAGTTGAACAATGTCATACTACAATGCTGCATTAAGAAAACACGGTAGCTGTTTTTAGAGCTTATTTACCTGATTTGTCATTCTTAAGGAAGCGTTTAAGTAATCAGACTTGTTCACTATAACTAATCATTCTTCAGACTGGAAGAGTATAAAGTAAAGCACATTTTTTGGTTAGAGTTGTGTATGTAACTGCATGCCAGGTAACTGAGGCCCGAAGAACTGAGAACCCCCAAAGCTCAACCACACGGACAGACTATTTGTAAGGAGACTAACAGCAAACAGGCACTACTTTAAGAGACACCACCACACTTCAGGAAGAGAGAAATTTCAGTAAGGAACTAACAGTAACTGCAGGGACTGCAAATTATCACCTGCAGTGCAGCTATGACAGCTCAACTCAGTAAGCCTCTACCCTACAGCCGTTTTATATCACACAAGGCTTATCTAAGCAGAAATACACCAGTATGACTCCAGGTGAGCAAAATGCTAACAGGAATTGGAAAATAAAGTTACCAAATCAGACCTTTGCTCTTGATATTACTCCTATTATTTTACAAATATTTTTCAAATGACTGGAAAMCAAGAAAAGCCTGCTTAGTAGTCTCACTCTGCCCTTGTACCCTAGTTACCTGCTACTGGCAACTGTCAGACACAGCACTATCAGGGATCCTTTATAAGGCCAAAAAAAAGTTTTCTTCCTTCAGGTTATCACTAATGGACAACCTTTAATCTCTTCAGCATGTCCTTATCTTACTGAAGAAAATAAGTCTCCACTGAAATACTTTCTTTTCTGCAAGGACTATTATTTGGGATTGTTAGCCTGCTTGCCTCCTTAAGCCACTAGCTTTTACATGCAGTGCCACATAAGCTTATAAAAAATAGAAGCAGGCCAACGAACTTTGATCTTTCGTATGAAAGTGTGAGAATGTTACTCATTTAGTCTCTGTTTTCATTAGCATTCCAGCTGCAAGTCAACACCATCRTGACTCTCAGGAGTCCTAAAACAATTTATGATACATCTGTATAAAGAAAAAAAATATTACCAAAGCCAAGCCACAGTTGATTTAAGACACATGTATGTCAGAGTAAAATATATCTCCTTGCATTACTTYGTCTGGAAATGAAAGCGTTACTTTTCCCTTTCACGTATCACTTTATCTGAAATGTTTCTACTGGAGAGAAACCAAGACCTTTGTAAATATTACATGTCATTTGCCAACAGGAAAAACTTAAGATCTTGTTATAGTAAATCACACATACCGGTACTAGGGTTCTCGGAAGGCTGACGTCAGCCGGCACTGTTAACAGTTTAATCACCCAGCGGCAGCCGCGGCGGGGCCRCCGGCAGCAGATAACCAGCCAGGCTAGGGCGCCTGCACGCAGCCAAAGCCTTAGTCTTCCCTTCTGGTCAGCTCTGCTTTGTAAATGTGATGATCACATTCTC